TCCACCTCACTTTGCTGTGGGGGAGGCTTTTCTCAGCCAGAGTTGCTGACCTGTTTGACTGGGATTTAAACTGAGCCCACTGTGGGTTGTGGGGAGTACTGCCGCTGCAAGCCCACTGGGCACTTTTTGTAAACCCAGCAGGCTAAGGCATTCAAGGGAACCCACCCCAGCCTCAGAGCTATCTGTAGGAAAGGCAAGGGCCCCCAATGGGACACTTATGTGCCTGTACACCAGTGCCAGGAGCCTGGGGAGCAAACAGGAAGAACTGGTTCTCCTGCTAAACCAAACGGATTACGAACTCATAGGGATAACGGAGACCTGGTGGGACTCCATCTATGACTGGGCCACAGGTATAGACGGCTATATCTTATACAGGAGAGATCATGTGGACAAAAGGGGCGGGTAGCTCTGTATGTCAAGGAAGGCTAGGCACCCAGGGAGGACAGTTGGAGACTCTCTGGGTCCAAATCTGTGATGAACAAGGCACAGGAGACACAATGGTGGGAGTCTACTAGAGACCTCCTAGCAAAGACCAAGAGCTTGACCAGGAATTTGCCAGGGAACTAGCTAAGGCTTCATGTTCCTGGTGCATGGTTGTCATGGGAGATTTCAGCTACCCTGACATCTCATCGGAAGAGCACTTGGCCACATCCGAATGGTCGCAAAGCTTCCTCGTGTGTGAATGAGCTCTATCTGACTCAAGAAGTCTATGGACTGATGAGAGGCAAAGCTCTGCTCAACCTGGTACTGGCAACAGGGGGTGACTTAATCAGTGACCTAACGATCGAAGTGAAGCTGGGAGACAGCGACCATGAGCTGATCACTTTCACCATGTGTCGTAAAGCAGGCAAGTCAGTCAGCAAAGCAGAAGTCCTCGACTTCAGGAAAGCTGACTTTGACAAGCTCAGGAGGCTTGTTGGAGAGCCCCTAAGGGATCACGACCCAAAGGGGAGGGGAGTTCAGGAAGAGTGGTTGCTCCTCAAGGGAGCGATCCTGAAAGCACAAGTAATGTCTGTCCTGTCTCGGAGGAAGGGCAGCAAAAGGGCACAGCAGTCCTCTTGGCTCTGCTGGGAACTAGTGGACCTCCTGCGGCTAAAAAGAAAGGCCTATAAAGGATGGAAGGCTGCATCCACCCCAAAGGAGGAGTACTCTGCATTGGTCCAGACCTGTAGGGAGCGAACTAGGAAAGCCAAGGCTGCAGCTGAACTTCAAATGGCTACACGTATCAAGGACAATAAAAAGTCCTTTTTTAGATATGTGGGGAGCCCGAGGAAAAGCAAGGGTAACACTGGACCCCTGCTAAACCAGATGGGGCAACTGACAACTGATGCCCAGGAAAAAGCTAACCTGCTCATTGAGTATTTTGCATTGGTTTTTCACCAGCTCCAAGGGATGGCCAAAGTGAGGGAGAACTGTTACCCTTCATCAGTGTTGACCATGTGAAGGAACACCTTGAGAGTTTGGACACCTTCAAGTCAGCTGGCTTAGACAGCTTACACCCCAGGGTACTTAAGGAGCTGGTGAGCATCATAGCTGGTCACTGGCACATCTTTGAGAACTCATGGTGCTCAGCCTAAGTCCCCGAAGATTGGAAGAAGGCCAATGTGGTGCCTATCTTCAAGAAAGGGAGGAAAGTAGATCTGGGGAACTACAGGCCCGTCAGCCTGACCTCCATCCCCGGGAAGATCCTGAAGAAAATCATCGAAGAAACCATTCTTGACAAACTGGCTGAAGGCAGCTTCTTGAGGGATAGCCAGCACGGGTTTGTTGCGGGTAGGTCTTGCCTGACCAGTCTCATCTCCTTCTATGACCAGGTGAGATATCACCTGGAGAAGGGAGAAGAGACTGATGTCGTATATCTTGACTTTAAAAAAGCTTTGAATCTGGCATCCCATGATCATCTTATAGAAAAACTGGCCAATTGCAGCCTCGGCTGCATCACAGTCTGCTGGCTGGGGAATTGGCTTCGACGTCAGACCCAGAGAGTGGTAGTTGACGGAAGTCAATCGTTGTGGTGTGTCATGACTAGTGGGGTCCCCCAAAGCTCCATCCTTGGGCCTATCCTTTTCAAAATCTTCATTAATGATGCGGACATTGGTGTCAGGAGACGACTGGCCAAGTTTGCTGATGACACCAAACTTTGGGGTAAAGTGTCCACGCCCAAGGACAGGATGGTAATCCAGGCCTACCTTGACAGGCTCAGAAAATGGGCGAACAAAAACCTGATGGCCTTCAGCTCTGAAAAATGCAAGGCAGTCCACCTTGGGAAGAAAAACCCGCAGCATGCTTAAGGCTTGGCAGTGCTGTGCTTGCTAGCACCACCGCCAAAAGGGACTTGGGGGTCATGACTGACCACAAGATGAATATGAGTCACCAATGTGATGTTGCAGCTGGCAAAGCGAGCAAAACCCTGGCTTGCATCCATAGATACTTCTCTAGCAAATCCCAGGATGTCATCTTCCCACTGTACTCAGCCTTGGTGAGGCTGCAGCTGGAGTATTGTATCCAATTCTGGGCTTCATAATTTAAAAAGGATGTGGAGAAGCTTGAGGGAGTCCACAGGAGAGCTATGCGCATGATCCGAGGGCAGGAAAACAGGCCGTATGATGAGAGGCTGAGAGCTGCAGGACTCTTCAGCGTGGAAAAGCACAGACGTGCAGGGGGGACCTGGTGGTTGCCTATAAGTTTATCGGGGTGACCACCAGGATCTGGGGGAGGATGTTTGTTCACCAGAGCCCCCCAAGGGATGACTAGGTCAAATGGTCATAAACTTCTCCAAGACTGTTTCACGCTGGACATAAGGAAGAACTTCTTTACAGTCTGAGCCCCCAAGACCTGGAACAGGCTGCCATCAGAGGTGGTGCAAGCACCTACTCTGGATTCCTTTAAGAGTCAATTGAACGTTTATCTTGCTGGGATCCTGTGACCCCAGCTGACTTCCTGCTCCTGGGGCAGGAGGCTGGATTTGATGATCTTCCAAGGTTCCTTCCAGCCCCAATGTCTATGAAATCTATGAAATCCACACAAGCCCCTGCAAAGCCTGAGGAAGCCCAGAAACCCCTTCCAATTTGCCCCAGCTCCTCCCCTAGGGTCATGTGGGCTGTGCCAACCTGCAGCCCAGGTGATCTTCCCCTAGGAGGAGCCCCAGCCCCAGTGTGTGAGGGCAGCCTCACCTGGGTGGATGGGCCAGGAGCTGCACTGGCTGCAGCTGGGAGGTGGCAGGTGGCTGGGCAAGCTCACAGCAGTGCATGGGGCAACTCGGGAGCTGGGGTTGGGGCTTCACCTGCTGGAATGCCCCAGGAAAGCTCTGCCACCTCCAGGCACAGATGTGGAATGCTCACTGCATGGTCCTAGCACCCGAGGTGGCTCTTGCCAGCTCTGAGCCACATTCAGATGGGGTGCTGCTGGTCCAGCCCAAGCGGGGGAACTGGGGCCTGAGCACAGCTCACCCAGGGCCTGCCGTGTGGAGCTGCATGGGTGGATGGGGCTGCTTCCATCCAGTGTCCCCTGTGGCACCAACAGAGGCTGGAGCCAGAGCCACCAGGGCCTGAGTGCAGCTGGCCCAGGGCCTGCTGCATGACCCCGGGTGGGCAGGGCTGCTTCTACCCAGCATCTCCCATGGGGCCAGCAGAGGCCAAAGCCAGAGCTGCCACCTGCATTGCCCAGCGACAGGCCAGATTAGAGTCAGTTGGTGGGTTGGATATGGGCCACAGGCTGTATTCTACCCACCCCAGTCTAGTGTCTTGCGTTTCTGGGCTGGGGCCACTATACGTTAATGTACATGATTTGTGCAAGCCTTTTTCATTTAACTTGGAAGACCAGTGTAGAAGATCACGTTTCTCAAATGACTTTAAGCCCTTTTCAAATTGAGAGGTTGCTTAAAAGCTTCTTCCAGGAATTATCTCAGAAGGGCCCTATCATTTGGAGAGTGTGTGCGCCTGATTTTGGTGTTGAGGCGAGGGGAGACTCTTGTAGGTATTGTGTCAAAGCTCAACATTTTTACTTCTGTGCATTTTTTGCTGAACTTGTAGGCTGACTCTTGAAAACTGTTTGTGGTAAATAAAGATAAAGGTTTGGAAAGTTTTTTCTCATCTCTTGGTATAGAAATACTTTCAAGTATCTGGGAAATATTACTTACGAGTCTTGGAGCTTATGAGCCTTGGGGTTGACTACCCTGTTAGATGGATTGGATTCTCAGGGTTTCTCGCGAGTTATACTGATAACTGAGTAGATGAAGTCAAATTCAATGGAAGAGCAATAGTTTCGCTAGCTCTAGGTACCTGAATGGAACTGAAGGACTGTTTGGACAAAACAGCAGTCTTATTTATGATCCCCATGCCATATGTATTTGTGTCAATTATCTCATTTTAGACTGCTCATCAGACCGTAATGTAAACTGACTTTGTGGTATGAGTAGGTATTCAGTAACCACAGAATTGACTCTTAAACCAGTTGTCTTGCATATAAAGTTAAATCTAAACGATTGTGTCTGTCCTGTGAGGCAGCATGAATGCTTACAGTACTTTTGTGATAGATTTTTTGGGGGAAAACTAACACGGCAAACTGGCTTTCCTGATGATTTTAATACGCCTGACTTTTTTTTCAAAACTGTGTTTATTGAAATTAGAAAAGAGAGTTCAAATTCATGACATGGTTATTTCTAAGACACACAATTAATGGAGCAATCTACCTGATATTTTAGTTGGCCATTGTAGTTTATGGTATAGTCAACAACCTTATGGTAGTTAATTAGGATACCAGTGACCTTCAAAACTTTGTCTAGAATCTTTTATTGTACATCTGTCCATTGCATACCTAAATAGATTTTGCTTTAACATAGGACAGAAGGTGTATTAATGGTTAGTATTAATCTTGGGTGTGTGTTCATTGTCATTCAGAAATGCTATCAAGAATTTTTCTCAAATTTTGTCGTCTTTTGAATATAAATATTAAATGTAATTTAGCAGGCTGTAATTACATGTTAAATATAATTTTAACAGGAATTACCAGATTTGATCTGCTTGGAGATTTTGGAAGATTCAACTGGCTGGGAAACTTCTACATTGTGTTATCTTATAATCTGCTCTTTGCTATAATGACGACCCTCTGTCTGGTCAGAAAGTTTACCTCTGCTGTGCGAGAAGAGCTCTTAAAGGCATTAGGTAACAGTGAAGGTTTTCATTTTTAACTTCGACTTCATTGTTTCTCCCTTGCCCTTTTTCTGCCTACTTGCCCTTTTGAGATGGTGCATATGTTCTGTGCATCATACCATATATTTTGTGTATGTGAAATGCTTTACAGAAACTTGTAGACATTCCAGTTTTGAAATGGGCTTTATCCTATTCACAGGGAGTACCACTGTGTCTGGGTGCAGTGAGTCTAAAATGGCTCAAATAGAGGTACAGATAAGTTTTAGCAGTCCTAGCTAATTAAAATAGCATGTTTCAATTTCTTGCCAATCTAGAAAAAAATTCTTGGAATTTGGCTTCTTGGTTCGAGTATAGAGGATTATTATTGGCTAGTGTATAAATTATGGCATTGATGGGGAAAATCACCTGGTTCCACAAGTAGTGAAACATGGTGACATAGTCTGGGGTATTGGTGACTGAGTGAATACACAGAGCTAAGTACAGACAATCAAAAAGCCCAAAGCTGAATTCATTCAATATTCACAGGTTAGTTTAAGCTGTGTAGTTTGAACTGATAAGTGAGTGAACACACATTCACTTTTGATTCCAGAAATAGAACTGCATGCCTGCAGTGGCCCAGGCCAGAAGCTAGGGGCTGCTAGAGCTTGCCTCCCTGCCCTGGTGGAGTAGACAGCTTGGGCCAAGGCTAGCCCATCCTGCAAGGGGAGTTTGCAGGGGATGTACAAAGTACTCTCAGAGGCTGGGGGACTGTAAGTTAACTTCAATATGGAGGGGATCTGGGACACAAGTTCAATAAATCGATTTAATCTAAATCAGTTAAGTTTGATACTACATCCATCCAGGTTTATCTTAAACTAGTTTCGGCCATTTTCAGTGGTTTATGTGCACTGACCTTCTGTTGTGTTACAGATTATACTGATTGATATGTAATTTCTGTCCCTAGCCCATGTAAATTAATAATTAATATCTGAACTACTGAGCATCAGAGCTGTGATGCCAGTTGACAAGGAGGGAACCAACAAGTCATCCAGTAGCACCTAAAAGCAGAGTCAAAGCTGCTTCTGTCTAGCTCAGGAAGTTTTTCTTCACAGATGGGAACGCATAATGATGTGAGCTATGAAGGTCCCCACTCCTATATCGATGAAATATTAATGACCGAACAGGTTCAATACCTTTTTAGAACTGCAGGCTGTTTTCAGTTTATTTCCTTAAATGAAGAATGAAGGCCAGTAGACAGGGTGATTTATGACAGAGAAGTCTACAAAAAGTAAATGTGTGTTATCCAACTCATATCAGTTCATCATCTTAGAGTATTCATAGTTTCATAGTTGGTAGGGTCGGAAGGGACCTGAGCTGACCATCAAGTCTGACCCCCTGCTATGGCAGGAAAGAGTACTGGGGTCAGACAACCCTGGCAGGGTGTTCATCCAGCCTCCTCTTAAAGACTCCCAGGGTAGGAGCCAGCACCACTTCTCTTGGAAGCTGGTTCCAGATCTTAGCTGCCCTGACGGTGAAGTAGCGCCTCCTGATGTCCAGCCTGAGTCTACCCTCTGCCAGCTTGTGACCATTGTTTCTAGTCACTCCTGGTAGTGCTCGGGGGAACAGGGACTCCCCCAATGCCTGCTGGTCCCCTCTGACTAGTTTGTAAACAGCCACTAGATCCCACCTCAGCCTTCTCTTGTGGTGGCTGAACATGTTCAGGTCCCATAGCTTTACCTTGTAGGGCCTGCCCTGCTGCCCCCTGATCATGCGAGTGGCCCTCCTCTGGA